TTTGTTATAAAAGCCATATAATCTGTTTCTGTCTGGATGTCTCTATGTCTGTATGTGTTATGTATGTGTGATATTTGGTAAATAAAGCTAGTTTTAAAGTTGTTACTAAAGTAAAAATGGCTTCAAGAGTGTAACTGATATATAATTCAGACATTTTTGCCTAGGTCTACTGGTCAGACAGGTTTATGCTATCTTTACATATTTTAAGGTCATAAAACTGCTAATTTTCTATATTTTTGGCACTTACTTGATTTGTCTGTGGGCTAATGCTGGCTGTTGGGCTTCCCCAGAACTTTGCACACATCTTACTGTAAGCTGGTCTTTGGTTTTAAGCTTCAAGATTCTGGGGTCTGGACAGGTGGCCATGGTGAGGCCTGGAGACATGTTGTCAATGCTTAGGACACCATCTGCAGTGTCCCATGTTGCTCCTTGCTTGGCCCAGATTTGCGTCACAGCCATGCTGGGAGTGGTCACATCCTCCAGCTATGCTCTTCACAGCTCTGTCTTCTGTCCTGACATCTGGTACGTAAATTTAGGACCCAACAGAGCCCTGCCCTTTATAGCCATCAGGTGCCACATGGGTACTCAGGACCCAGGACAACTGAGAAAGACATTAAGGAGGGTACCTGTGTCATAATTTCCTTTTTTCTCCAAAACTAATCTTAAAGTCATGTTATATTAAATAATAAAATGTCTGAGTCATTCCTAAATAAGTTAAAATACTAAAGCATTAATTATTAAATACAGGTTTATGTACTTTGACGTCTTATTTTTATATGATCTAAAAAGCTAAATATATTTAGATATTTTAATTTTGTTAACAAATCTTTCTAAAAATATAAAATGATTTTTATCTACAAAGATTGATATAAAACTGTTCAAAATTAATTTCTAGGTTTTTACTAGAAATTTGGGTCACTAAGAGTCAAAATTATAGTCAACAAACATAATTAAAACTACTAAGTGTAAGAGAAACAATTCTAAAGAGTCTATTAAAAAAGCACAATATATTTTTCGTGAGGAAAGTTATAAAGACATAAAAATGTGTGAGAAAAAAATTTAGAAGTTACTTAGATTGTTTCAAATTCAAGGAATAAAAAAATAGATTAAATTACAGAAAGTTTTAAAAAACTTCAAAATTTTTCTGAGATTACAAAAAGTTTATTTTATAGTCTTGTGTGATTAAAAGGTTATTGAAATTAGATTTGTTTATAAGTTTTTATTAAAATCAGCTTTAGAATTGATAATATACTAATACAAGAGTAAAAATTTAGTTTTCTCTTTTGCACATAAATTTCGTGTAATACTAATAAGATAAAGTAAAACACTTTTATTCACCTTTTGAATAAACTCTCAGAAAAGGGAGAGAGAAGAGACATATTCTGTCTTTATTAGTCTTTTAATTTTTAAAAACAGTCTTTTTTAAAATCAAAGAATAAAGGTCTTTGCTTTTTAAAACCTTTTCATTATTACTTTGGCTAAATAAATGATTTATTTTACAGTGACCTGTGATTGATTTTGATAAGTGTTTTAAACTTTTGACATAAATTTAATAGGCTTCCCGAAATCAAATTTAAAATGAAGTCTTTTTGACCTCAAACTAACTTTGTTATGTTACAGAGGGCCCCTGTAGTATCCAAAAGAGAGATAAACAGGTTTATTTAATATGCAAAATTACATGAAAAACATTGTCAGAAAATAATGTTCAACCTTCTTTGAGTTTCATATGATTTTTAAAATAGCTTTCTTCTATTTCTGTAGAAATATCATTGGTAGTTTGATAGGAATAGCATTGAATCTGTAGATTGGGCAATATGGCCAGTTTAATGATATTGTATCTTCCCATTCATGACCTTGGGATGTTTTTCGATTTGTTTGTGTCTTCTCTGATTTCTTTGAAGAGTGTTTTATAATTCTCCTTGTAGAGATCTAATTTTTGTATTTTTAGTAGAGACAGGGTTCTGCTATGTTACCCAGGCTGCTCTTGAACTCCTGAGCTCATGTGATCTGCCCACCTCGGCCTTCCAAAGTGTTGGGATTACAGGCATGAGCCACTGTGCCCAGCCTGGATGCTCTTTATTTCTTTCTCTTGCCTGATTTCTCCAGCTAGGACTTTTAATACTATGTTGAATAAGAGTGGTGAGAGAGGGCATCCTTCTCTTGTGCCAGTTTTCAAGGGGATTGCTTCCAACGTTTGCCCATTCAGTATGATGTTGACTGTGGGTTTGTCATAGATGGCTCTTACTGAGGTATATTTCTTCAGTAACTAGTATATTGAGAGTTTTTAACATGAAGGGATATATTATTGAAAGCCTTTTCTACATCTACTTAGATAATCATGTGATTTTTGTCTTTAGTTTTGTTGATGTGTTAAATCACATTTATTGATTTGCATATGTTGAACTAACCTTGCATCCCAGGCATGAAGCCTACTTGATTGTGGTAGATTAGCTTTTTGATGTGCTACTGGATTTGGTTTGCATGTACTTTGTTGAGGATTTTCAGTGTCGATCAGGAATACTGGCCTGAAGTTTTCTTCTTTTGTTGTCTCTCTGCCAGGTTATGGTATCAGGATGATGCTGGCTTCATAGATTGAGCTGGGGAGAATTCCTTCTCCTTAATTTTTGGGAATAGTTTCAGTAGGAATGGTATCAGCTCTTCTTTTTATGTCTGATAGAATTTGGTGGTGAATCCATCAGGTCCTGGACTTTTTTTGGTTGGTAGGCTATTTATTACTGATTCAATTTTAGAACTTGTTATTGGTCTGTTCAGGGAATCACTTTCTTCCTGGTTCAGTCCTGACAGGGCGTATGTATCCAGGAATTTATCCATCTCTTTTATGTTTTCTAGTTTGTATGATATAGAAGTTAAGAATGCTTTTACTTACTGGGGTTTTCTTGCTTCTGAACTCTCTGCTGACAGATCTAAGAAACAGATGTATGTATATATGTGTGTCTATAAAATAATTATTCAATAAGATGATAGTAGAAAAAAAGCAATATTGCTAAGTAAAGGTGCTTATTTATGTAATTAAATATATTTATAGTAGCTGAAAAGCTTTTTGTGTTTCTTTTTATTTAAATAATTGAGTACTTTCTTGTATTTGAGGTTGCCATATACTTTGACGTATACACAATTTTTACCAAGGAGAAGAGTATACCTGGTTTGAATGTTCAGAGGAAAGTATGCATTCTAGTTCAGTGGAAATGGATATGCCTCTGAGATCTACAGTCATATATTTTCCCATCCTATGAGTCACTTAGGATTTATGAACGCATGGATTTATGAAGAGACTTTTCAAGAAACATACTCGAGTAGAGTCTTTTGAATGAGGAAATTATATGGCAATATTGGTGTACTTTTCTACTGCTACTTACCTAAAATGAAAAGAAGCTAATACAGATTCTGTTATGTCATTGCTTTAGATATATTTCATCTATTGACTAGTATTTCATTCTGTTTTCTCTTAGAAATGAAAGTACAAGCATACAATCCTTTTGAGTTTTTTATATTCTTATGAGTCTTTTCTACTTTGATGTAGCAGGGGCTAAAGAAAATATTTTAATGAGTTTTTTTCTTTCTCTCTCTCTCTCTCTCTCTCTCTCTCTCTCTTTTTGAGACAAGAGTCTTGCTCTGTGGCCCAGGCTGGATTACAGTGGTGCGATCTCGGCTCACTGAAACCCCCTCCTCCCAGATTCAAACGATTCTCATGTCTCAGCCTCCTGAGTAGCCAGGACTACAGGCACATACCACCATGCCCAGCTAACTTTTGTATTTTAGTGGAGATGGGGTTTCACCATGTTGGCCAGGCTGGTCTCAAACTCCTGTTCTCAAGTGATCCACCCGCCTCGCCTCCCAGAGTGCTGGTATTATAGGCGTGAGCCTCCGCACCCGGCCAGTTTTTTCATTAAATGTGTGATTGTAAATAAGCTCTCCATGACACCTCCTGAGCTACTTTAGTAAGTTTGCTTTCCTACAGACAGTCTTGCTCAATCTTATGGAAAGTATGTACCCTTTTTAAAGAAAATAATCTTGTGGTTACCCGATGTTGATGATGTTGAATGCTTACATTATGAATATAGAGCTGACTGCTGAGGTACAGATCTTTGGGTTCAACATGCTTAGCCTAGTAGGTGCTTTGTGACTCATTCTTCCATCAGTGTTTTTCTATTTGACTGCTATGAATCTTTCATGTTTGAATTCAACTATCATTTGGCCTTCACTTGGCAAGCATTTGACCTATACTTCCACCTCTGTGCTTTTCTCATTAGTCTACAGTGATTTAATTCAGACTTGTTTCTTGGTTATAGGATAGTCATTATTAACAAGATCCAGAGTATGCTATTTATGAAAATGTATTTGGAAACTTATAGAAAAAATAGTGTGTATTTTGAGTATGTATATCCTAACAAATGAGAAAAGACGATACAAATTAATGAAAGTTCAAAACTAATGAAAATGAATTCGAGAAAATGTATGAATTGTTTTTTAAAAGACACAGAATCTCTTAAAATTGCACAACCCTAATGCGGGCACTGTTAGAGGGCTAAAATTTTCAGTCTTCTCTTTTTTTATGCATATAGACACTTTTAGATTTTGTGGTTGTAATGTGCACAGCATTTTTACATACTGCTTCTCTTTTCAGGCTACACATAAGATAGCTGTTTCCATTTACTCTGCCATAGGAGTAAACTAAGAGGCAAAAAGTATTTATTAAGTAACTCTGTATCATTAGAGTGCTGTAAATCTTATAAATTTTATTTAGAGTGCATTTGTTTTGGAAGCCATATTGTATTATATCAATTGACATTTCTTTAGTAATCCCATGTCATTAGGAGAATATAGATTTATTTTGGAACCATTCAATTATATAAGGCATCTGTACTTATTTATATTTGTAATTAATAATGAAATGCTACCATCTGTAAATCTCTTCATCAGTTGAATAGCATACATAATTATAAGGGTTTCAGATTTTTGTCTTCTCTATGTATTTATAGCAAAAGAAGATTTTAGTGAAGCAGGAAACTACCTAAAAGGATATGTTATCACTGGAATTTATTCTGAAGAAGATGTTTCGCTACTGTAAGTTTATTGCTCTTTTAATTTTAGGGAGGAAGAAATTATACAAAATAATGTTATCTAATAATTGCTTATATTTATACAGCTGATAGAGGAAAGTAAGGTAGCAATATAAAGAAATTTTATATTTCCTTCTGGGAAATAAAGCACGTGAGAAGTACCTTAGATTCTTTAGATACTCTTTTACTTTAGACCAAAGCCCCCATGGGTCAATCTTGGATTTGTACTTCACCATCCTCCTATAAAAATTATCCTTTTTGGATTCTTTTTTTTTTGAGATGGCGTCTCGCTATGTCATCAGGCTGGAGGGTAGGCAGTGACACGATCTTGGCTCGCTGCAACCTCCATCTCCTGGGTTTAAGTGATTCTCCTGCCTCAGCTTCCTGAGTAGCTGGGACTACAGGTACATGCCACCATGCCTGGCTAAGTTTTGTAGTTTTAGTAGAGACAGGATTTCATCATGTTGGCCAGGATAGTCTCCATCTCTTGACCTCGTGATCCCCCTGCCTCAACCTTCCAAAATGCTGGGATTACAGGCGTGAGCCACTGCTCCCAGCCCCTCTTTGTGTTCTGTTACCTGCAATGTGAGTTCTTTGGAGTTACCATAGTTTGGGAGAAATTTTACTTTTTGAGCATCTGAGTTTTTATTTACCCTGTGTGTGTGTGTGTGTGTGTGTGTGTGTGTGTGTGTGTGTGCTCGCTTCGGCAGCACATATACTAAAATTGGAACGATACAGAGAAGATTAGCATGGCCCCTGCACAAGGGTGACACGCAGATTCGTGAAGGGTTCCATATTTTTGGACACAGGGAGGGGAGCACTACACACTGGGGTCAGTTGGGGAGAAATAGGGGAGGGACGGTGGGGGATGGGGAGTTGGGGAGAGATAGCAAGGGGAGAGATGCCAGATGTAAGTGATGGGGAGGAAGGCAGCAAATCACACTGCCACGTGTGTACCTATGCAACAATCTTGCATATTCTTCACATGTACCCCCAAACCTAAAATGCAATAAAATAAATAAATGGGAAAAAAATAAAAATAAAAATCAGTGTTTTTTTGGCCACTTAAATTACCTTATCTGTAGAAGATGGGACTTCTGTGGACTGCCAAAATATTTTAGTTGCTGTAGAATGAAGGACTGAACTGCAGATTTGGAGATTATTAGTGACACACATCACATCCTCTATGGCCCATTTTCAGGTATAGGTGTACTTTACTAAGCCCCAGTAGTTTTGTCTTACCTTCTGACTATAAATTCCTAATTGTAATTTCTAAGCTTAAATCTTTCATCTTGAACACTGGTGATAGGAAATATGAGGACTGTCCATCTCACAATGGGTAATCACCCACCATCTTCTACTCTGCTGTCATTGTTCATTTAGCTGTGGTCCAAAGAACTAGACCAGTAGTTTTCAGAGTGTGTGTTTTGTTTATAACCAACTGGTCAACTAAGAGGTTCCTTTAAGTGATCTGAAAACTGGCCTCAACTAATGCTTATGATGTTATAATGTCTATACTTTGTTCTGGCTTGAATTAAGTTATTACACATGACTACTTCACTAGTAATTTTACACAAAGCTTTCTTCCTATTTAGATAATTTTCTTTTAGGTTTAGTTAGCGAAAGGAATTGTAGGAGGGTGGATCTGGGCCCTTGTTTTAGTGGAGAGATACAGACTCTGTCAGGAACAGACTCTGTGTCAGGGACACCTCATTTGAAGTCTGTGTCTGCCATTTATCACTCTCTAAGCCCTATTTCCTCATCTGTAAAATGAGGTCATAATGGCCACTTTAGTTCTGAAAGTTAAATAAAAACATAATTGAAATACTTAGTATAGTGCCTGGCAGACAGTAGGTTTCTCATAAATGCTCATTTTCTTATTCATCAGTGTGGTGAGCAAGTCCAGAAAGGTTGAGAACCATTCAGTGTGTTCCAAATCTTATTTATTTTCTTGTTGAGTAAGTTGTATAGAAAAAAACCTGGCTAGATTACTGCCTTGCCGCTTTTTAAATATCTAGTTTGTCATAGATTATTATCTGTTGCTTTCTTTTAATCTAGGTTGTCATAGAATATAAGTTTGTCTGGAAATTGAGTTCATTTTTTTCCTTAGCAGTAGGATGTCCCATTTTCTGCCTCACACTGTGACCTCCTAGCCTAAATTTTCATGTTTTTGACATGCTATATTTTGATTGTGAATTTTAATACTACCTTTCTCCATAGGTCAAACAGATATGCTGCAACTCTTCCAGCCCTGCTGCTTGCCAGACACACAGAAGGCAAAATAGAGAGCATCCCACTAGCTAGCACTCATGCACAAGATGTAGTTCAAATAATAACAGATGCATTACTGGAAACATTTGTGAGTATGTTTCATAATGAGGGTGATATTTAAAATCTAGATCAGTCAAAGACAGTATATGTTAATACACATTTTTCCACTTTTTGTTGGTACAGGGCATGGTGATTTGTAAGTTGAGGTTTCATTGGGTTGTTTTGTTTTATTGTTCAGTCATTATGCATACAGCATTTTGAGTCTACTGCTAAAAGCTTACATGTCTTGCTGAGACCATTGTGGCTGAAGTCCAGTTTAAGTGCTTAATCCAGGGTGAAACTTGTTGTAAAGCATGTGTGTTCTGGAAGGTCAGCCTGCCCAGCTTCAAATAATTGTTTGATTTCTTATTGACTGTAGGTTAACTTCTCTATTCCTCCATTTCCACATGTGTAAAATGTAGCTCATAGTAGCATCTGCTGCAGACAGTTATTATGAGGACTGAATGAGACATGATTTGTACAGTGCTTTGTGTGCAGTGTTTAGCCCATGGTAAGCATTCAAAAAATGTTAGTTACTATTATTATTATTTGTATGGATTTTTTTTTTTTTTTTTGAGATGGAGTCTCATTCTTTTGTCAGGATCTCAGCTCATTGTAACCTCTGCCTCCCGGGTTTAAGCAATTCTCCTGCCTCAGCCTCCCAAGTAGCTGGGATTACAGGTGCTTACCACTATACTTGGCCAATTTTTTTTTTTTTTTTGTATTTTTAGTAGAGACAGGGTTTCACCATGTTGGCCAGGCTGGTCTCAAACTCTTGACCTCAAGTGATCCACTCATCTTGGCCTTCCAAAGTACTGGGATTACAGGCATGAGCTACCATGCCCAGCCTGGTTTTTATAAAAATTTTAATTTCTGGAGGGAGGGTGCCAAGATGGCTGTGAGAAGGCAACGCCGGAATGCAGCTCCCAGCAAATGAGATGCAGAGGGCTAGAGGAATTCACAATTCCAAATGAGGTGCTGGGTTCATTTTGGTGGGACTGATAGTGCACTGAAAATAGCCCAGGGAAGAAGCCTCAGGGCGAGAGCCACCCCGGGGGGACAAATCAAGATGAGAGGGTTGGCGTGTCCCCACCTGAAATGTGCAGCTGGCTTGGATGGTTGGGGGACCTCACCCCCTTGGTGCTCCGATTTGGATCCTGTCCTTACCTCATCCCTCATACAACCCACAGTCCACAAGAGCCCTCTGAGGCTGTGGGGCGTCGTGGGTTGTCGATGCAAATCTGAGCAGCGGGTCCCGCCAGGCGCGACAAATTGTTGCACAAACCTGGGCAGAAGTTTGGACTAACGCCAGCAGACGGACCATCCCACAGAGGGAGGCAGAGTTGAAAGCAGGGAAACAGACCATAAGGCCCAGCAGGCCCCACCTCCATGGAACTCAGACTGAAGCCCTTGTTAGAAAGCTTGGCAGCAAATACACCAGTTTGACGCCAACCAGGAAGATCCAGCTCTGGAAGAGACACAATTGGGAAGGTGGGGCCAATCTCACCTGCTTCAAACTCCAGGGAAGGGCCAACAACCTCACTGAGCCCAAGAGAGCCCAGCAATACCCTCTACAGGCCAAAAAAGATATAGCTCCAACCTCAACAGAAAAAAAAGGTCCACTCAGAGACTCCTCTGGAAATCACCAACTTCAAAGATCAAAGGGAGATAAATCCACAAAGATGAGGAAAAAACAGCGCAAAAAGGATGAAACCATCAAAGAACAGAACACCTCTTCTCCTCCCAGGGATCACAACTCCTCACCATCAAGGGAACAAAAAAAGACAGAGAATGAATTTGACTAATTGACAGAAGTAGGCTTCAGAAGGTGGGTAATAACAAACTTCTCTGAGTTAAAAGACCATGTTCTAACCCAATGCAGAGAAACTAAGAACCTTGAAAAAAGATTAGACAAAATGCTAACTAGAATAACCAGCTTAGAGAAGAACATAAACGACTTGTTGGAGCTGAAGAACACAGCACAAGAACTGCATGAGGCATATACAAGTTTCAACAACCGAATCGATCAAGCAGAAGAAAGGATATGAGAGATAGAAGATCAAATCAATGAAATAAAATGAGAAGGCAAGATTAGAGAAAAAAGAGTGAAAAGAAATGAACAAAGCCTCCAAGAACTATGGGATTATGTGAAAAGACCTAATCTACGCTTGATCGGCGTACCTTAATGTGATGGGGAAAATGAATCCAAGTTGGAAAACACTCTTTAAGATAATATCCAAGAGAACTGCCCCAGCCTAACAAGGCAGGCCAACATTCAAATCCAGGAAATACAGAGAACACCATAAAGATATTCCTCAAGAAGAGCAACCCCAAGGCACCTAATTGTCAGATTCACCAGGGTTGAAATGAAGGAAAAACTCCAAAGGGCAGCCAGAGAGAAAGGCTGAGTCACCCACGGAGGAAAGACCATTCTGCAGAGCGGATCTCTCTGCAGAAACCCTGCAAGCTAGAAGGGAGTGTGGGCCAGTATTAAACATCCTTAAAGAAAATAACTTTCAACCCAGAATTTCATATCCGGCCAAACTAAGCTTTGTAAGTGAAGGAGAAACAAAACCCTTTACAGACAAGCAATTGCTGAGCAATTTCATCACAAGACCTTCCTTACAGGAACTACTGAAGGAACTACTAAACAGGGAGCAGAGCAACCAGTACCAGCCACTGCAAAAATGCACCAAATGGTAAAGAACAATGATGCAATGAAGAAGCCACATCAACTAACAGGCAAAACAACCAGCCAGTAACAAAATGGCAGGATCAAATTCAAACATAACAATATTGACGTTGAATGTAAAAGGCCTAAATGCCCCAATCAAAAGACACAGACTGGCAAACTGGATAAAAGTCAAGATCCATTGGTGTGCTGTATTCAGGAGATCCATCTCACATGAAAAGACTCACATAGACTCAGAATAAAGGGATGGAAGAAGATTTACCAAGCAAATGGAGAGCAAAATAAGCAGGGGTAGCAATCCCAGTCTCTGATAAAATGAACTTTAAACCAACAAAGATCAAAAGAGACAAAGGGCATTACATAATGGTAAAAGGATCAATGCAACAAGAAGAGCTAACTATCCTAAATATACATGCACCTAATGCAGGAGAACCCAGATGCATAAAGCAAGTTCTTAGTGACCTACAAAGAGATTTAGACTCCCACACAATAATAGTGGGAGACTTTAACACTTCACTGACAATATGGACAGATCAATGGAACAGAAAGTCAACAAGGATATCCAGGACTTGAATGCAGATTTGGACCAAGCAAACCTAATAGGCATTTATAGGACATTCCACCACAAGTCCACAGAATACACTTTCTTCTAAGCACCCCGTTGTACTTACTCCAAAATTGACCACATACTTGGAAGTAAATCATTCCTCAGCAAATGCAAAAGAATGGAAATCATAGCAAACAGTCTCTCAGACCACAGTGCAATCAAATTAGAACTCAGGATTAAGAAAAGCACTCAAAACTGCACAATCACATGGAAACTGAAGAACTTGCTTCTGAATGACGAATGGATAAACAATGAAATGAAGGCGGAAATAAAAATGTACTTCAAAACCAACAAGAATGAAGACACAATGTACTAGATCCTGTGGGACACATTTAAAGCAGTGTGTAGAGGGAAATTTATAGCAATAAATGCCCACATGAGAAACAGGAAATATCTAAAATCCACACCCTATCATCAAAATTGAAAGAGCTAGAGGAGCAAGATCAAAAAAACTGAAAAGTAAGCAGAAGACAAGAAATAACTAAGATCAGAGCAGAACTAAAGGAGATAGAGACACAAAAAACCATTCAAAAAATCAATAAACCCAGGAGCTGTTTTTTGAACAGATCAACAAAATAGACCACTAGCTAGACTAATAAAAAAGAATAATCAAATAGATGCAATAAAAAACAAAAAAGGGGAGATCACCACTAATTCCTCAGAAATACAAACTACCATCAGAGATTACTACAGACAACTCTATGCACATAAACCAGTAATCTGGAAGAAATGGATAAATTCCTAGACACTTGCACACTTCCAAGACTAAAACAAGAAGAAGTTGAAACCTGAATAGACCAATAAGAAAAGTCTGAAGTCGAGGCAGCAATTAATAGCTTACCAACCAAAAAAATTCCAGGTCCAGACAGGTTCACAGCCAATTTCTACCACACATACAAAGAAGAGCTGGTACCATTCCTGTTGAAACTATTCCAAACAATACAAAAAAAGGGAATCCTTTCTAACTCTTTCTGTGAGACCAACATCATCCTGTTACCAAAACCTGGCAGAGACACAACTAAAAAAACTACAGGCCGATGTCCATGGTGAACATTGTTGCAAAAGTCTTCAATAAAATACTGGCAAACCGAATCCAATAGCACATCAAAAACCTTCATCACAATCAAGTAGGCTTCATCCCGGGGATGCAAGGCTGGTCCAACATACGGAAGTCTATAAACGTAATTCACCACATAAACAGAACCAAAGACAAAAACCACATGATTATCTCAATAGATGCAGAGAAGGCCTTCGACAAAATTCAATAGACCTTTTTGCTAAAAACTCTCAATAAACTAGGTATCGAGGAAACATACCTCAAAACAATAAAAGCTATTTACGTGACGCCCACAGCCAGTATCATACTGAATGGGCAAAAACTAGAAGCATTCCCTTTCAAAACTGGCACTAGACAAGGATGCCCTCTGTCACCACTCCTATTCAATATAGTATTGGGAGTTTTAGCCAGAGCAATTAGTCAAGAAAAAGAAATAAAGGGCATTCAATTAGGAAAAGAAAAAGTGAAATTGTCCCTGTTTGCAGACAACATGATTGTATATTTAGAAGACCCTATTGTCTCAGCCCAAAATCTCCTTAAGCTGATAAGCAACTTCAGCAAATTCTCAGGACACAAAATCAATGTGCAGAAATCACAAGCATTTCTATACACCAATAACAGACAAACAGAGCCAAATCAAGAACAAACTGCCATTCACAATTGCTACAAAGAGAATAAAATACCTAGGAATACAACTAACAAAGGATATAAAAGATCTCATCAAGGAGAACTACAAACCACTGATCAAGGAATTAAGAGAGGACACAAACATGAGAAAACATTCCATGCTTGTGGTTAGGAAGAATCAATATTGTGAAAATGGCCATACTGCCCAAAGTATGGCCTCTAGCAGATTAGAGGATGATAGCTAACACAAGAAGACAGCATATGGGAATTTGGAGAAAAAGTGATCTAAGATTTAAGTCATGAAAGAGGAAGGTGTAAGGAGATTTTGAGTATGAAAGAGAAAGAATTCTAAGAAAAATGAGAATTGGTAAGTGCAAACTGCTTTGAGAACTGAATAGGGAAAGTTATATGCCAGAATTTAGCATTTCAGGATTAACTAGGACTGTAGTTAGAGGTGGTTGACACCATTATAAACAAGTTCATCTGAATTTGTAGTGCGATCCAAAGAAAGGGGAAACTGGTAAGCAGCATGCCTGGATTCTAACATCACTCCTTCCCCCTGCTTAGCTGTGATGACTTTAGCAAGTTAGTCTCTGTGTCAGCTTCTCATATATCAACTGGGTAGGTTACTTATCTGATTGATGTATCTAGCTCATAGGTGATCCAGAGGATGAAATAATGGACATGGGACTAAAAATGGAAACTGGTAGAAGGCTTTACTATTCTATGTCATTGCTATTTTTAATCCTAAATATATTAGCATTGTTGCACTTTCCAATTCTTGTTACTATCAGCTTAGAAAAATTGTCTTCTACAATTGTATTTTTAAATGGTTACCTTTTTTCCTTTCAACTCACTCATTTCACAGATTTTAAAATTGGGGTGCAGAGTGATTTGCTCAAAGTTTTATTACTGTGACAATTCCATGAATCCTGACTTGTAATCAAGTGACTATTTAAGTCTACCCCATTACAGGAAAGTGTGAAAGAAAAAATAGAAAGGGAGAGAGGGGAGACGGTCATTACTGCTAATATTAATATAATAGAATTTGGGGCCCTTTCTCTGAGTTGGAGGTGAGTAGAGAAAGGAAGTATTTCTAAGATAAAAAGAGTGTAGTGGCCAAGAGAAAGCTTCCCCTTTGTCCTCTGATGGTTCCATGCAAATAACTGACAAAAGACAGATTAATAGGAGAACAGACATACAAAATTTTATTTTAATGTGCATAGCATGGGCAAATTGCAGGAGAATGATTATCTCCCTATCTTTTTTTTTTTTTTTTCCTTTTTTTGAGACAGAGTCTCACCCTGTTGCCCAGGCTGGAATACCATGGAACAATCTCAGCTCACTGCAGCCTCCATCTCCTGGGTTTACGTGATTCTCCTGCCTCAGCCTCCCAAGTAGCTGGGATTACAGGCATGCACTACCACGCCCAGCTAATTTTTGTACTTTTAGTAGAGATGGGGTTTCGCCGTGTTGGCAAGGCTGGTCTCAACTCCTGACCTCAGGTGGTTTGCCTGACTTGGCCTCCCAAAGTGCTGGGATTACAGGTGTGAGCCACCGCGCCTAGCCTCCTATCTTTTAATTAATAATAAAAATGATAAAAGGATTAAGTTTCTAATTTTGTATTAAATTAGTTATTTTAAACCCAAATGAGATCGGTGTTTGGATTTGTTTTAGCATATTTTTGGTTATTTTAATTATTATTTTAACCATAATATTGGAAAAAGTAAAATTGTGTCTATTCTTATTTATTATTTTAAGTAATGATAGATGTTAAAGAAAGAAATATTTTTTCACCTTATAGTTCTCTTCAAAATTTTTGTGTTAGAGGACAAATATAACAAGAGTTTCACTTATCATGTGTATATTGGTTAATCTGGTCCAGACTTTAGCATAACAAATTATTAGAAGTGTTACATCTTGTAAAATAGGGGACTCCTTTAAATTAATTTATTCTCAAATTCTATAAGTAGTTTTATTGTGAAAATATTAAGATGAGGTGGGATTAAAAAAATGATTGAGATTCATAGTTATTAATATAGTAAAGTATCTACTTAAGTTAAAACGTGTTTGAATTACATTTTACAAACTAAAATTGAGCGATTTGAATGTTAGTTTCTATTTTATGCATTATCATCCCTCATGCATTTTTTTTGTTATTCCTTTTCTTTGACAGCCAGAAATCACTGTGGAAAATCTTCCCAGTTATTTCAGACTTCAGAAACCATTACTGATTTTGTTCAGTGATGGCAGCATAAATCCTCAATATAAAAATGCAATATTGACACTGGTAAAGCAGAAATACTTGGATTCATTTACTCCTTGCTGGTTAAATCTGTAAGTATGTTTTTATTTTTCAATATATAGAGGTAAAGTGTAATAATTATTACATTTTCATTAGGAAATGAAACTCTCTATACCTTTGGAGTTAATTTTATGGAATCAAATATGTCGTCATGATATTTTAGTAACTAAATTCCCCCAAACAAGGTCCAAGATGACCTTATTTTAGATTGAATTTTATTCTACGGTAAAATTTTAAAAGCAATAATTGTTCTAACTTTTAAAAGTAATTGATGCCCATTCAGAAAATTTGGCAAATACAGAAAGTAAACATTGTGATATTTTGGCTTTTTCCTTCAGTTTCTTTTTCTGTACTTCTGTATTTCTGAAGGTCAGACAGATTTCAGTACGTCCATCAGCAATATTTCCTAGTATGTTTTCTAGATGTATGGATTGTTACATTTGATATCTGTGAACAAAATTCACAAATAATACACTGTTCCTTGTTCAGAATCATCAGATGAAAATTTTTTAAACTCATTTGAAAAATAATAGAAATGGCGTACTGTAGATTTTTGCTGTGAAGTGCATTCTGCTTGAGGCAAAATTTTCCCAGATAATTATCATATAGGTATCTAAGAGTAAAATAATATTTTATAAAATGTGGAATGTGTTCCATTAGGAAAACTAAGTATCTTTAACTTAGAGGGTTTTTTTTTTATGAACATAATTATTTTTACTTCTTTAATTTGAAATTATTGCCTTCTTTTTCCTGAGAAAAGGCATGATTTTATGGAAAAGAAGCATTTATAAAAGTAAGTATCTCGTTACCTTCTAGTTACGTAATCATTTAATTTTTGAGCTGACATACGATCAGATACTTGGCCAAATGTTGGAAGGAAACTTTGGTTGTGTCAAGCCTAAATTGACAAGCCTTTGGGCTATGCCTGCTTTTTGTTAAAATTGTCATGGGCTGCCACTATTCTCCTAAGTGCAACAAAGTGCCCATGTTAAAAAAAAACTTTTAAACAATCCAGTAACATAGTGGTAGAACTCTTGGTTTTTAGGACATCTTTTTGTAAAGTGAACTTATTGGAATGATACTACCTAAAAGCTTAATGTTCTACAAACTACTGTTTTCATTATTTTGTTGTAGAAATAAATATTAATATGTTCAATTGTTCCCTTTTTCAGAAAGAATACTCCAGTGGGGAGAGGAATCTTGCGGGCATATTTTGATCCTCTGCCTCCTCTTCCTCTTCTTGTTTTGGTGAATCTGCATTCAGGTGGCCAAGTATTTGCATTTCCTTCAGACCAGGCTATAATTGAAGAAAACCTTGTATTGTGGCTGAAGAAATTAGAAGTAGGACTAGAAAATCCTATCAGTAAGTGTTCTGTTTTGTTTAATAGACATAGTTCTGTATTTTGTTCCATAAAGTTTAAACTCTAAATATACCTAAAGAATGGTAAGATGAGTTATTAAAATGCTGGTAGCATTGTCCATGTGGACAGTCTCCGATTGGGAGGCCAAAGGTGCAAGGCTTCAGTGAGAGGCTCCCCTATGAAGGCCTGTTTCTTGAATTTTAATTCATTAAGTACATGTTGCTTGTATAGATCACCAGTGTATTCAAACATATGATTTTGGTAATTTATGCCATTAAAAGAATTGTTACAGTGGGAGCTTTGGCCTACCAAAGCATAAGTCTTTCGTCTATTTTTATAAAATTTAAAATTATAGAGTTCAGAAGATATTTCTTGTGTAGTTTTTTCATATGCATGCCATTTTTCTTTTTATAACTGTAAGCAAATACGTCATTTTATAGAAAATGAAAATATTTTACAAATAGATCATTATATGAAATTCTGATTCTCTAGTACAGGCATACCTTAGAGATATTGTGGGTTTAGTTTGAGACCACCACAATAAGGTGAATATTGAAATAAAGCAAATCATATAAGTTTTTTTGGTTTCCAAGTATATACAAAAGTTATGTTTACACTATGCTGTAGTCTATTAAATGCGTAATAGCATTACAGCTAGTGCTCGACTTACGACCACGATTGGTTCCGACAGACCGGTCATAACATGATTTGGTCGTAAGTTGAGTAGGTTATATGTACAGTACTGTGAAATGATGTTATAAAAATCTTTGTCATATTTTATCATAATTTTCTTTCATTGTTATATATCATAATTTTCTTTGTTCATTTTATGCCATTTGTATCATTTCCACACCATTTTGTTGCTTTTTACATTCGTCAGGTTTAAGTAAAACACTGCATTACCAGTACAACTGCTTTAATATTTGCAAAACATACAAAATTACAAAATACAGGTGCATAAAAAATACAAAATACAGGTGTAAAAAATACCATAGGAAACATTTTCCCAATTGCAAAACATATCAAAATATATAAACATGTACGAAACATTTTATTGGCCGCTGGTGCTTGGCTGCAGATCGTTGATGTCGTCATCTGAGGCAGCAGTTGGGGTTACCAGAGTTGGTTTTTTCATAAACATGGTGTGCTTTGTCTGAATTGTATGTTTCTTTTTTTCTTCATAAATTTCATGATATGGACGAAACACATCGTGCGCCATCCGTTCAGTCCTTGCAAATCGTTCGATGTTTGGGTCCATTGCTTCAAAATGTATAAGAAGTTTATTGGGAGGGGTTTGATGAAAAGTATCCAAGACACAAAACACAAATTGCTGTACCGAGTCTGGGATAACAGTTGAAATGGTACACGCGGAGTTGGTAGGGATGCCGGAAGCTGGTCCGCACTGTCGTCAGCCCAGCTGGGCAACGTTTGCGCTGCCAGACGCAGAGCAGTCGTGGCTAGCGATTGTGATTGTAAAGTCGAATGGTCGTAAGTTGCATAGGTTGTAAGTTGATCAATACCTGTATGTCTAAAAAATGTTTTTACCTTAATTTAAAAATATTGCTAATAATTATCTAAGCCTTCAGGGAATTGCAACGTTTTGGCTGATGAAGGAGGGTCTTGTCTCCACAGCCAAACCGACAGGTGGTGGTTGCTGAACTGCTGAAGATTGGGCTGTGGCAATTTCTTAGAATCGGACAACAATGCGGGGAGAGGCAGAGGGCGGCCCCCGCGCAGGCAAAGACTGGGGGGCCCGGTCGCCGCGGTGCAGTTCTTGCCGGAGCCGAGCCCAGCGGAGCGCCCGCTACTACCCATTCGCCTCTGCGCCATGGCCGGCCTCAACTCCCTGGAGGCGGTGAAACTGAAGATCCAAGCCCTGCAGCAGCAGGCGGACTAGGTGGAAGACCGTGCGCAGGGCCTGCAGCGGGAGCTGGATGGAGACCGCCAGCGGCGCGAGAAAACTGAAGATGTTGTGGCCGCCCTTAAACGATGCATCCAGCTCGTAGAGGAGGAGCTGGACAGGGCTCAGGAACCACTGGCCACAGCCCTGCAGAAGCTGCAGGAAGCGGAAAAGGCTGCAGTTGAGAGTGAGAGAGGAATGAAGGTGATAGAAAACCGGGCCATAAAGGATGAGGAGAAGATGGAGATTCAGGAGATACAGCTCAAAGAGGCCAAGCACATTGAGGAAGAGGCTGACCGCAAATACGAGGAGGTAGCTCTAAGCTGGTCATCCTGGAGGGTGAGCTGGAGAGGGTAGAGGAGCGTGCGGAGGTGTCTGAACTAAAATGTGGTGACCTGGAAGAAGAACTCAAGAATGTTACTAACAATCTGGAGGCTACATCTGAAAAGTATTCTGAAAAGGAAGACAAATATGAAGAAGAAATTAAACTTCTGTCTGACAAACTGAAAGAGGCTGAGACCCGTGCTGAATTTGCAGAGAATGGTGGCAAAACTTGAAAAGACCATTGATGACCTGGAAGAGAAACTTGCCCAGGCCAAAGAAGAGAATGTGGGCTTACATCAGACACTGGATCAGACACTAAATGAATTTAACTGTATATAATCAAAACAGAAGAGTCTTGTTTCAACAGAAACTCCGGAGCTGCGTGGGTCTTTCTCTTCCCTTGTAAGAAGTTCCTTTTGTTAGTGCCATCTTCGCTCTGATGGAAATGTGAAGCAAATTATGAATACATGACCAAATATTTTGTATTGGAGAAGCTTTGAGCACCAGTTAAATCTCATTCCTTTCCTTCCCCTCCCCTCAAATGGCACCAGCATTTTCAGCTCTCTTATTTTTCCCTTACGTTGTATTTATTCCTAAGGTAGGCAGGGTATTTCCTAGTAAGCATACTTTCTTAAGACGGAGGGCATTTGGTTTCTGGGAGAATAGGCAGCCTCACACTTTGAAGAACACAGACCCCAGTATCTAGTGGATCTGTTTAAAATGCTGAAGAACATAACTTTTTGGGTCAACTGTTAGTCGAACTATAGGAGAGACCAGGGACCATCACATAGGTGGGGATTTTCCATCCAGAGCTAATAAAAGGGTGGGACGGGGGGGGGGTATTGTGGGAAGTCATAACCCATGGATAGATTAACCTAAGAATCCTGGCCCTTCTCCACACTCCACCATGCAGAACAAACATCCTCTCAAACAGTCGACATAGAATGCTTGGGAAATGGTTGTAATTACCCACATATTTTCTGGTTAGTTCCTTGATGTGATGTTCTGCATATTTCCTTCGTTCTAAAGTTGTTCTCTGGCCGAGTGTGGTAGCTCTCGCCTGTAATCCCAACTTTGGGAGGCCAAGGCAGGCAGATCACTTGAGGTCAGGAGTTCAAGACCAACCTGGCCAACATGGCAAAACCCCTTCACTACTAAAATTATAAAAATTATGATGGCACCTGCCTGCAGTCTCAGCTACTCCAGGAGGCTGAGGCAGGAGGATTCCTTGAACCCAGAAAGTGGAGGTTGCAGTGAACCAAGATCACTGCACTGCATTCCAGCCCAGGCAACAGAGTGAGACTCCATCTCAAGAAAAAATAAAATAAAAATAAAGTTGTTCTTTGAGAAGCAAATGTCTCCTTTCAATAATGACACATCCACTCAGTCCAATTCAGGTCAACCATATCCAAAAGACTATAAGTCATTAATAAGTTGAGCAGAAGAGTTTTTTTTTTTTCTCTTAGCAGAAAGGGCCTCTCTGGCAGCAGAGATTAAAAATTGCCCAACTTCATTTCCATACTTCAGGGAATAGCAAATTGAAGATTTACTTATCTAGGACTTGAATTCCTTCTTTGGGACCAAGTTAATCAAAGACCAAGAAACTCCTGATTAAACTGGATAATGGAGGATTTTGTAGACAGGGCTGCACACATTGGCTTTGTTTTACTTCTGTTTTCTCAGTTAACATCTCAGAGCTGGAACATTCCACATTCCCCAGCAGTATATGGGGGCCAACAAAAATTTACAATTCCGACTAAAAATCACCTTGCTTCTGGCTTATTTGAATCCCCTATCCACCCCGTCCCACCACCCTGCTCCTATTTATTCGGCACCACACTACTTAGGAAATACACTGACAAATTGTGCAATTGAATGAAATCCACACTTTTCTTTAGATTCTTGCAACTGTATCATATGTAACAGTATCACTTTTCTACATTTGGTCAAATAAATTTTTACATAAACTACAAAAAAAAAAAAAACCCAACAACAATGAAGTTTGCAGCGTTGATTAACCTTTTTTTTCCACAAAAGATTTCTCTGTAGTATATGATGCTGTTTGATAGCATTTTATTCACAGTAGAACCTCTTTCAAAATTGAAGTAAATTCTTGGAAATCCTGCTGCTGCTTTATTGACTAAGTTTATGGAATATTCTAAATCCATTGCTGTCATTTCAACAATGTTCATAGCATTTTCACTAGTAGTTTCCAACTCAAGAAACCACTTTCTTTGCTTACTCATGAGAAGCAACTTCTCATCAGTTCATCGTAAGATTGCAGCAATTCAGTTATACCTTCAAGTACCACTTCTTATTATAGTTCTCTTGCTATTTATACTCCATCTGCAGCTACTTTCTCCAGTGAAGTCTTGAGGCCCCCAAAGTATACAAGACTTCCTTTTCCTCTGCATCCTTGTCAGCATTTGTTATTGCCTTTGTTTTTGATAAAAGCCGTTTTAACTGGGGTGAGATGATACCTCGTTGTAGGTTTGATTTGCTTTTCTCTGATGATCAGAGAAATACCTATTTTCAGAAATACCTGTTTTCCATTTGAATGTCTTCTTTTGAGGATTGTCTATTCGGATCTTTTGCCCATTTTAAAATCAGATTATTTTTGAGCTCTTTATATTCTCTGGTTATTAATCCCTTGTCAGACAGGTAGTTTGCAAATATTTTCTTCCATTCTGTGGGTTATCTCTTCACATTGTTGATTGTTTATTGTTTCCTTTGCTGTGAAGAAGCTTTGTTTTTAACTTGATGTGATCCCATTTGTCCATTTTCGCTTTGGTTGCTTGTGCTTGTGGGGTATTAGGAAATCTTTGCCCAGTCCAATGTCCTGGAGAATTTCTGTAATGTTTTTGTCTAATAATTTCTTTTAGTAATTTAAGTTCTTACATTTAAGTATTTAATATCTTTTGAATTAAGAGTGAGATAAGGGTCCAGTTTCATTCTTCTGCATGTAAATATCCAGTTTTCCCAGCACCATTTATTGAAGAGACTACCCTTTTCCCATTGTATGACCATGGTAGCGTTGTCAAAGATCAGTTGACAGCAAATGTCTGGATTTATTTCTGGTCTCCCTATTCTGTTCCATTGGTCTTTATGCCAGTACCATGCTGGTTTGATTACTATAGCTTTGTAGTATATTTTGTACTCAGGTAATATGATGCCTCCAGTGTTGTTCTTTTAGCTCAAGATTGCTTTGGCTATTCAGGTCTTTCATGCTTTCATATGAGTTTTAGGATTTCTTTTTTCTATTTCTGTGAAAAATGTCACTGGAATTTTGATAGGAATTACATTGAATCTGTGGATCACTTTGGATAGTATAGACATTTTAACAATATTCCAATTCATGAACACAGGATATCTTTCCATTTATTTTTGCTTCGTTTTTTTTTCATCAGTGCATTACAATGCTTATTCCTAAGCATGTTTTTTTTGATGCTATTGTAAATGTGTTTGTTTTTTTGATTTCTTTTTAAGAGAGTTTGTTGTTAGCATATAGAAATGCTAGTTATTTTTGTATGTTTATTTTCTATGCTGCCACTTTACTAACTTTGTTGATTAGTTCTAACAGGTTTTTTTGTGGAGTCTTCAGGGGTTTTATATATACAAGATCATGCTCTCTGCAAACAGAAACAATGTAAGGTCTTCCTTTCTGATTTGGACAGAGCCAAAATTTTGAACCACAGGAAAATAGATCTTGGCCCAGAATTTATGATCCTGGCTTGCCATTATCTCTACTTTTCTGAAAACATAGAAAATATACATTTGTGGTATGGATGTATATATTAGTTATATTTGAGTCTTAGCCATTTATACATAGTTACGGCAACAATAGGCCTGTAGCTATAATTTAAATAAGTAAACATGTAGCAACTTAGATTATTATAGTATATTGAGCAAATAGTGTGAAATTTGATGTAATAAAAAGTCTCCTAAGTACTATACAAGGATTTTATTAGATACTAGATGATCTGTCTTAAAATAATATTTTGACACTGTTTCATGACAGAGTCCTGAAATAAGGTGTGTATGTGTATGTATATATGTAAACATGTATGTGTGTGTATATGTAAGTGTATACACACACAGTCTGGTATACAAACTCTCATTCAGTATTATGTCAGCTATCATGTATAGTATGAATCTACCATTATGTATATTTGTATGTATTTCATTAGATACTTGAATTTATTTTAGTGTCAGTCATTACACCAAATCCATCCTTCCTAAGTGATATGCTTCATTTCTGTCAAGTTAAGCAGCTTTAACTAACATATTATGCTTAAGTAGCATTTGGATGGTATTTTTCATTGAAATATAATTCATGTACAATAAAATTCACCCAATTCAGTACTTTTTAGTGCATTCTGACGACCATGCAACTACTACCATTGCTGAATTCCAGAATATTTTCATCACCCCAAAAAGAAATGCCATACCCGTTAATAGTCACTCCCAATTTTTTCCTATGTCCACACCCAATTTTCTCCTCTGTCTACCCTTGGTACCCACTTATCTATTTATAGCTTTATGGATTTGCCTTATCTAGACGTTTCATATAAATGGTATCATATAATAAATATATGGCTTTTTATGTCTGGCTTCTTTCACTTATCATAAGGTTTTCAAGGATCAACATGTTATAGCATGAACCAGTAGTTCCTTCCTTTTCATAGATGAATAACGTTCCACTGCATGGATCTGACACATTTTGTTATCCATTCCTTAGGTGATGGACAGTTGGGTTACCTTTACTTATGGCGATTATGAATAATGCTGCTATGAGCATTCGTGTATATGTTTTTGTGGCTGTCTTTATGCTAGTACTGCACTGTCTTTATTATTGTAGCTTTGTAGTAGATTTTAAAGTTGGGAAATTTGATTTCTCCAACTTTGTTTTTCATTTTCTTGTTTTATTTATTTATTTTTTTTCGAGACAGGGTCTCACTCTGTCACCAAGGCTGGAGTGCAGGGGTTCAAGTTGAGTCCTGGGCTCAAGGGATTCTCCTACCTCAGCCTTCCAAGGAGCTAGGACTACATGCATGCACCACCAAGCCTGGCTTCGTTTTTTCGTTCTTCTTTTTGTAGGGACAGGGTCTCACCGTGTTGTCCAGGCAAGTCTCAAACTACTGGCCACAAACAATCCTCCCTCTTCAGCTTCCCAAAGTGTGTGGCTTACAGGCATGAGACACTGTACCTGGCCCTGTTCATTTTCAAGACATTTTGGCTATTCTAGGTTCCTTTAGATAGTATTTTTGTCTTAATTTTCTGAAGTAACATTGGTTTTAATATTTTCCTAGGAAGTGGGACAGAATAAATTAAATTCAATGTTTTGTTTAAGTGGACCTGGAAGGAGACCTTTCTGTAGTTGTTGTCACTCATCTTTTGACTACTTCATTCTCACCACATGGTATAGAGCTCTTTCCAGCTGTAGCTCTTTTAAACTCAGAAAGCCTGTTTTCACTTTACTATCTGCATTGCTGATTTATAGAATCAAATGAGTATAGTCATTTTGGAGCCGCAGTGACACAGAGTTCCCAGGGACTCTAAGTCAAGATTATGTTTAGCTGGGGCTAGAATGTTTCTCAAACAGAATTGCTTAAATTAAAAAAAGTGAATATGTTCAAAACACAGAAACCTGAGCTCCTGACCTAGCTTCCTTGATTACTGTGTGGCTCTAGCAAGTCATTCTTGGTGTCCTCCTCTACAACTATAAAATGAGATTAATAGTTCCCACTCTGAATACATCACATAGCTATTTTTAAAATGTATGCAGAGGTACTTTATAAAGTATAAACTCTAATGTATTTTCATTACCTATGTAAAGATCCTTTCCTACCAGTAACATCCCTGAGGGCTTTCGTTCCTCTGCTTAAACCATTACCCAGAGGAAAGAATCAACGTCATTATACTTTTGAGTTTTCTGAGAGACTGGCATGTATTCTTTTGCAATTTTGTTAATGTCTTTGCCAGCTCATTCTTTGAGGTTTTCCATCATTTCTGTGCATCACTGCTCTGTTCTTAAATTAATCCTGTAGCCTCTGCAACAGGAAGAAGAAAACTGAACAAGTCTCTGTTTATGGGATTCTGCGTTCCCTGCCAGCAGGGCCTGCTTTCCGCATCTCTGACAGATAGCTCTTTGCCAGGGTGCTCTGAGATGGGATTGGGGTGGTGTGGATTATAGGGACATTCTGGAAATAGCCAAAATCAGTAACATGGTGGCACTGGTGTCCGCCTCACCTTACATGTTGCATACCTTAATTTCTGTGAAACTGTGGCCACTGGCAATTCTTGTTTGAGATTTACACTTAACTTTGGCCCAGTTCCCTGATTCTTGTATGCTTTGGTCTTCTTGTCTTTAAAATTATAAAGATTAAATGAATAATGCCTGTATATAGTAAAGGCTTAATAAATGTTAATTAACATTATTTGTTGTCATTACTGATTTGATGAATAGTGTATTTATTACCCTTACGTTATTAGAGTACAGTTGTATTTGCAATTGAAAACATTAAGATCTTTATAGAGTTCCTTTAGCAAGTAATTAGCAGAATTGGAATGTTTCAGGCATTTTGTCGTAGTCTCAGACCACTAGGCTGCAGCTTTGACCTTAAAGAATAAATATTGTTAAATATAATATTTGCTACACGCTATACTTTAAACTGGGCTCTTGGTGGTTGTTGAGACAGCGTCTCACTCTGTCATCCAGGTTTGAGTGCCTTGTAGCCTCAACCATGTGGGCTCAAGTGAACCTTCCACTTCAGCCTCCCGAGTAGCTGGAACTACAGGTGCATGCCAGCATGCCCAGCTAATTTATTTTTTTTCGAGAAGGGCTCCCACTATGTTTCCCAGGCTGGTCTTGAACTCCTGGGCTCAAGCAGTCCTCCCATCTTGGCTTCCCAAAGTGCTGGGATTACAGATGTGAGCCACCATGCCCAGCCTAAACTGGACTCTTACAGATACTTTAGTAAACATTTATTTGCATGTTGCAAACTACAGCCTGTTCATTCAAGAAAATATGTCATTCGTTTGTCACTTCTGAATCTGCTAACTTGGCAACACCAATTTAAAACATCAATTCCATGAGTAGCCTAAATTTATTATCCTGCCGATGTACCAATTACCAGGATTTCATATATTGAGTATGAATGAGGAAATTATATATCAATAAGTGAAGTACAGCTGTACTGCATGTGTACATATACAGATTTTTGTTTGAGCTTTAATCTACTCTAGGAAATTGCAATTTATATGGTTTTTCTAAGCTCTTAAAGATACTTGATTTATGAGAGATACTCAAGTTTGTATCTTATGAGCATTTGTTATTATTTTTTAGCATGTAACAGTGCATAGATTCTTTCATTGGAATTTATTTTTAGAAGGTTTACTTTGTACACTTCCTTATATAGTTTATTTTTCAAAATAGTATTTTACATGGGCCAGTTAAATTCTAAAACTATTTTGTAAACTGTCTAGTAAATGGAAGTTAGCTAATTTATCCCATGTATATGTTATCAGCCTTAATCTGTTTTCCTGTTTTAATAACAATATTTAAAAATAATGTTAAGATTTATTGCCATGAAGCTCATCTAAGAGAAATTATTTAATCACTGTCCATATATAGTACAATTGATTCCATGGCAATTTTTAATTATTGTCTATTTTTTTATAAAGTGAACTTGTTTTCATAAAGTATGTGGAAAAGATGTTAAAAGCTTCAAGAACAGAAAAATGCTTTAAAATGTAAGGAAACACTTGTATAAATATATAATAAATAATTACATATGTTCCAAAATTTTTTTCTCCAATGATTCATAAGAAATAGTTACATTTCCTTGGCAATAGAGACTGGAGTAGAGAAGGAAGCAGGAGACTTTTTCATTTAACCTTTTACATATGTGTGCATGATCTTGTTACACATATTGCTATTTTTAAAAACCTCAACAAATGTTAACTGGCATTGAGATTATGGACCTTTTTTCCATCTATTCATATTTACCTTTTTAAAAGAAAATAATAGCTCGTAAATATAATAAAAACGAAAATGGCAGCTGGGTGCTGTGGCTCATGCCTGTAACACAGCACTTTGGGAGGCTGAGGTGGGAGATCAGTTGAGGTCAGGAGTTCGAGACCAGCCTGGCCAACATGGTGAAACCCCATCTCTACTAAAAATACAAAAAAAAAAAAAAAAAAACCAAAAAAATTAGCCAGGTGTGGTGGTACATGCCTGTAATCCCAGGTACTGGGGAGGCTGAGGTAGAATTGCCTTGCACCTGGGTGGTGGAGGTTGCAGTGAGCTGAGATCATGCCACTGCACCAGCCTGGGGGACAGAGCAAGACTCCATATCAAAAAAAAAAAAGAGAGAGAGAAATGAAAATGTCTAGCAATGACAAATGTATCAAGTTTCCTTTCTTTGTTTCTTTTTTTTTTTTTTTTAAGGAAAACCTGATCTGAGGAAAAGTTTCTTGTTGACAATGACAGTAAAAAAAAAAAATACTAGCTTTGCTTAGATAATTGAAACTAATACAGCTTTCACTTCTACAAACATATTTTTCAAAATAAAACATTTTCTAGTATATTGATTTGATGATTTTATAGTGATTAGTCTTTAACCTTTGATTGTTTCTTCCTTCCAGCAATTTTACCTGCTCAGGAATGGAAACCTCCTCTTCCAGCTTACGATTTTCTAAGTATGATGGATGCTGCAACATCTCAACATGACACTGAGAAAGTTCCCAAGTGTATGAAAGAAACAGATGTGCAGGAGAATGATAAGGAACAATATGAAGATAAATCGGCAGTCAGAAAAGAACCAATTGAAACTCTGAGAATAAAGCATTGGAATAGAAGTAATTGGTTTAAAGAAGCAGAAAAATCATTTAAGTGTGATAAAGAATTATGATGCTCGAAAGTGAACTAATTTTATAGAGCTTTGGTTTCCAAAGTCTTTTTTTTAGCATGGTAGACTTAATTTATTTCCTTAAAGAATGATACTAAATCATTCAAGTTTGTAGACTAGTGTCGTCTGTTAGAATTATAATAAAAGTCACACGTTTTATTTAAAAATTTCTAGTAACTACATTAAACAAAGTAAAAGTGAGCAGAGCATAATTTTCATGGGTTTTTTTTTTTGTTTGTTTGTTTGTTTTGTTTTTTTGTTTTTGTTTTTGTTTTAGAGACAGGGTTTCACCATATTGGTCACACTGGTCTCGAACTCCCAACCTCTGGTGATCGGCCTCCCAAAGTACTGGGATTACAGGCATGAGCCACTGTGCCCAGCTCTTGATGTTATTTTTCACCCAATAGTGTACCCCAAATAGCTAAATTAATATAAAAATTAATAATGAGGTATTTTACATTCTTTTTTATACCAAGTCTTCAAAATGCAATACGTATTTTACACTTACTGCATTTCTTACTTCGGAGTAGCCATATTTCAAGTGTTCATCAGCCACATATGGCCTGTGACTACTGTATTGGACAGTTCAGTACCAGACAAAAACTAGCATAATTAACTTAGTTCTAGCCATGATTTGTATTTGGATTAAAACAAAAATATAACTCTAAATACAGTTAACTCTGCAGTGCATTCATGCAGCTGGCAGTTATATTTGTTTTGTTGTAGTCATGATATTAATATCAGTGTTTGTCAACCTGGGGGCAGTTCGGCTCCCCAGGGGATATTTGGCAATGTCGGGAGACGTTTTTGATGTCATGACTAGGGCAGTTATTGGCATTTAGTGGATAGAGGCCGGGGATGCTGCTAAATAACCTACATTTGACAGCCCCCCACAACAAAGACTTATCCTGCCTAAAATGTCAGTAGTGCCAAGGTCCAGTAACCTTGTGTTAAACTAACCTGTGGCAGACGAGGTTTCCAGAATTTCCTGGTCCTGCTCAAGTATTATGTTTGAAAAATTTTGGTTATTAAAAATATCTATTAGATGGTCTTATCCTTATTATTACCTGGATACAATTTTATCTTTTCTAATGAATCAATTTTTATAATATTTTCAGAAAGTAATAGTATAACCCTAAAAGAGGACTCAGAATGATACTTACATTTTAAGGGAGTCTTAAAACCTTCTCTTACTTCTACAAGTTATTTGGCTAAATTTCAGATTGAACAGGAAGTCAGCATTCTGCCATCGCCTCAGGCAAAGAGAGGCTCCCTCATTTGAAGCATCTCTGAAATCTACCCTTGCAAGCTTCAGACATACCAGTTGGTCTCCCTGAGCCATATGGCCTCATCTATGTGAGAAGGAAAGATTAGTCAAATAGTTAATTTTCGTTCCAAATCACTTAGTTGTTAGACTGATCTGTTTATAGCAGTTGTTTGTCTCATTTTTGCTGTGCGTTGAGACTTTTGTTGAGAATATTCTATTTGGTGCTCCACTGTATTTTTCCTTTTAATATCTACTTGGTATCTTGTTCTTTAAATTTTCTTCACATATGGTTTGCCTGGTACAACTGAGTATTATAACTGGAATTTAAAGAATCATAAACAGCTAAAATTCACCAAGTGCATATATTTCCTTATAACATAGACCCTTTGCTACTCTCAGCACCCTCTCCTCAGTTTTTTCCCTGTAGCATGTGATGCCTTATTATTTCAACTCATTTTCATTTGCTATTATTTCTAATATGGGAAATATGGAGTGAACTCTAAATGCAGTTTGTAGTAATAAAACATCATTAGCATAATCATTAGAAAATGCTAATTAAGTACCACCACACAGAAGCATGAAATCGACTAGTCATTGTACCTTTGTCAGCAATTTTGACAGACATGTTTGTAATTTAAATAAAGTATCTGGGTTTCGGGCTGCCTTCACAATCCTTCTGTAGCCTCTGTTGTGCCCTCTCTTGGACCACTCTCCCTCTATCAGTTGGGTTTCTTTGCTTACAAGCAACAGAAATTCAACTTTGCTAACTGCAGCAAAATGGGAATATTGGATAATTCATAGAAAAGAAAAACTAGGCTTTGAAAGAACAGCAACTAAGTCTGTTCTATGTAACAGGAACTAACAGGTCAGTGAAGAATCAGTTCTAACTGATTTACTCTCTTTTGTGACTCAGGGAGTCCTGGGAAAGTTGGTTAGGGTACCACTAGACACTTTAATTGGCAGTCCTAACAGGACTTTCAAATGCAGAAGGGGTAAATCTCATAAAAGAAGTCTAAATTTTGTTTACCAGAAAAAGAATGAATGCAGAGGAGGGAAAAACAATGAAGAAATAGAAAACCCATGAATCCTCAAGACACTGCTTGCTGTCCTCTGTATCATTTTTGGGTCTTTCTGCTACCTCTTATCCATTTTTGAGAGCTCTAAAAGCCCTCTCTCTACCCTGGGTGGTTATAGCTTTCCTCTGTGTTCTCCTGGTCCTCTAATAGAGTTGGTCATCAGTGCATATTTACGTTCTGCGTAACATTTCATCTCTCATGAGTCAGATTATTTTACTCTCTCCTGCCTCACCTGTGCTGGAATGTAAATATCCTTGGCCCATTGTTTCCAGCCCATGTGATGAAATATTTCACAAGCTGTTTTTCAAAATTCCTAGAGTTCCTCACTTAAGGCTGTACTTCTTTAAAAATGAATTAAATGTGTAAGGTGAACCATAAGAGTTTGCAAACCAGTGTCTATTTCAGTAATAAAAAATAAATAGATACACCTTGGGATTTTTCCCCTTGTGCCTAAGATGTAGAAAGCTGCAAGAGAATGTAACTCCTAACAACAAAAAGTCATAGCTTTTCTTGTATCCATCAGAGAAAGTAGGCAAAGGAACTGAATTTCAAAGAGTGACAACCCCTCTTCAAAGAGAAACAGGATATGTGAACTGTTTTGCCTCCATCAGAGAATAGGAGGCTGCCATTAAAGCAAGTGAGAATAAATTATCAAGAATTTAGAAGAGTCCTAAGTGTTTACAGTCCTTGCAAGTTAATTTGTCACAGATTCCTGAACCGGGGACAAAGGACTTTATTACTCAAAGCAGTAGCATTAATCAGAGTGTCAGCATCCCCACGGTGTTACCAGAACAGGGCCAGGTGATACCTGCACATAGTAGATTGCATAACAGAAGGAACCCTGAGTTTAGGAAGCCCAAATATGTTATAATGCCTGTCGCTTGCTTTAAATAGTAGGAGATACTATCTAGAGAGATGGTATCTCTTATCAGTCTTTCCAGGCTGTTCTTTATATAAATATCCTTGAATAGGTAGTTCAGAAGAAAGGCAGGTGGTACCTTGCATGCAATCATACAGAAATGTGAGAGACCATGGAGAATTGTCTACTGACCGAAATCACTAAAATGTTAAGGAATTCTTTAAAGGCCAACTGTGTGATCAATATCAGTTTAAAATAGGTCCCCTGACATGACAGAGGTTCACATTCACTTTCTACAAGCCTCCACTGCGTGGTAATGAGAAAGACTGGGGCAAGAGACTGGAGAGAAGAGACCTCTCAGTGACACAGGCATGCATGGAATGACGGGCTGACAGGTGTGAAACGCTGCCTGCTTCCTCAGACCTTTCTCTTGTACAAAGCAAAAGCTGTAAGCCACTGGAGAAGAGATGACAAACCTTCCTGCCCTAATGGCCCAGGCGGAGATCCACTGCTCTTGAAGGAGATGTAAAAGCAAAAACCTTTTGCCCTTGAGAAAGGCAGAAAATCTTGTGGGCCCAGGATCCTGTGCTAATACCAAGCAAAGATCCACTCTCACTAGAAGTGTGGAAAATCTCTCCTGTTCAAGAATTCCAAAAACTGATAAGTATATAATTCAAATTGCAATAATGCAATGAAGAAGATGTAAAGGGAAGTGATAGAGAATAATTATGATCTGAGGACCACCTACTTAAGTACAATGGTGAGGTAAGTTCTTCCTAATAAGGTGATATTTGAGCTCAGACTTGAAGAATGAGATAGCCACCCTAGATCAGAATAAAGAGCATTCTGGGTAGAGGAATAGCATCTGGAAGACTCAGGAAAGATTTTGGCTAATTTGAAGAATGGAATAGAACCAATATGGCTGGAGTCTAATGGGCAAGGGGGACAGTAAAGAGATAAGGCTGGTGAGCTAGGAAGAGGTGGGATTATGCAGGGTTTTGGAAGACATGGATGGTAAGGCATTTATTTTAAGTGTACCAAGAGGCAGGGGAGCAGTATGATGGGATGCAAAACTTCGGAAGAATATTCTGGTGGCCATAAGGAGTGGCTGTGGAGATGGAGAGATGAGGATGGATTTGAGCTGTATTTTGGAGGTTTAACCTATAGACCTTGCTGATGGATTGCACCTAGGTTTTGAGGGAAAGGGAAGAACTATAAATGACTCAAGTTTCTGATATTAGTAACTGAAAGAGTGTGGTGCTATTTACTGAAATGAGGAATAGGGAAGCTGGGGTGGTGTTGGAGGTGGACAGAATAAAGTTCTCTTTTGTCTACATTAAGAGAGACAAACCCATTTGATTTCAAGTTGACAGTTGGATACTTCAGTCTGGAGCTCAGTGGAGAGCTTGTCTTCATTGATTCAACAAACATTGTTTATTATCTGCCAGGAACTGTTTTTGGCAATGTGAATAAAATAGCCCCTTTCTTCATGGAACTTACATTCTAGTGCAGGTGAGATGGAAAATAAACAAGTAAATACACAGTTGATACACAGATGATAATGGCTATGAAAAGAATAAGATGAAGGTAGAGAGTGGTATGGGAGATTTTAAAAATAAAGTATGGTTAAGGAAGGCCTCACTGTTGAGGTAAACTTGAGTAAAACCTAAAAACGAAAAAAGGGAGCAAGCTTTAAGGTTATTTGTGATCAACCCTGTTACTTAATTTAGAATAATAGATAATTTTTTAAAAATTTTATTCAAAGGATTGAGGGGCTGATTTACAAGAGAATAGAAAATTCCTGGGCCAAAATCTAAGTAAAAGCAGGAAACAAGAATTAAAGGATGCACTTTTAAGTATTTTTTCCTAAAAGCATTTGTCTGTGTGAGCAAACTTACTCAGCTCTCATCTTTATATTTTAGTAAATTATTTTGCTCTGTTTTACCGAAAGCAAACACAAACAAAAGAACAACAGAAAAATTCTTAAATACATTGATAGGCTGGAGAATTTTAATTTCACTTATCATTTAAATCCAAGTACATTTTATAACTTCTTTATATGTAGCTGTCAACATGTAGGGCAATCTGTCTTTAAGTAGGGATGAATGACTCCAAAAATAATCCTGGAGAGTTTTCCCTTGAAGCCAAGCATGGGGTTGTTTAAATAAACTTCTTGTTTAAAACGAAAAACAAAAAATAAAAACACAGTCAAGTTTCTTTAGTTGCCAAGTGTCTCCGTTGGCCTGGAGATGATGAAGGAGGGATTTTGTTGTGCAGAAAGTTCTAAATCCTCCCAGGGGCCCATGAAACGCTTGTGCCTCAGGTGAGCATCAGCAGTCTCCCCATGCCCACCTCTGTAAGGTGCCTGTGGTGAGATTTCCAAGTCCACCCTGGGACCAGAACCGGTCCAGTCTGGCCCAGAAGGTGTGTGGAAGGGGGGTGTGGGTGGGTGCCTGTCCCATACCCCAACAAATGTCCCTAGACCCAAACTTCACCTTTACCGTGGGGACCAAAGTTAAAAGCCCAACCAACATGGGAAGTTGGAACTCCATAGAGCCTGTGAGGAAAAGGTGAACTTAAAGAAAAAGACAAAAACTTCTCCATCTCTGCATACTCAAATCCTACAAAAGAAGATGTTTTGATACTGAGAAGCAAAAATACATTATTTCCAAGTGTGCACACAACACTTACAAAAAGGAACATATACTGTGCTATAATGCAAGCATCGCTAATTGTTACAGGATTAAAATCATGCATAACATGTTCTCTGAACACAGTGTAATTAATCTAGAAATCAATAACAAAATGATGCCGAGAGATGTAGAGATAAGGAGTTGGGTATGTAAGCCTGAGCTTGAGATAAAAATCTAGGCATCCTATAGTTTATGAATGGAAAAATTTGGAATTAAACCTGAGTCTCCTTCACAACCATTTGGTGGGATAATACCATGTAAAGCCTTTCCAGTCCATAACATTTCCTTGTGTATTGAAATTTTAAAATATATATAAAATACGTAAACTAACATTAAAATGGCCTATGACTAGATCATTGAATAATCAGATAATTCAATCATCTCTCCCCCTTAGAGTTAATATTCTTAACACTTTATGACTGTAGGCTATAATTTCGCATTCTCTTAAACCTTTTTCTTTTACTAAGATTTACTAGTGGAAGCCTATCCAAGATTTAGTTTGGATAACCCAGGGTCAAGTCCTTACATAGGCCTCGAGAGCTATGAAAAAACAGATGCAGAATCTGGAGTCTTATGAAATATTCCAGACCGGCTTCCTGACTTATAGTGGACAAAATTGCACGTCACTATTTTAATCAAATAAAGCACTCATTTCCTCTAACATTAAATGCAGTCTGGATTTTCTGTTTCTCATGTGGATATTTTATATAGCTATGAAGGCTACTTTTGAAGAATTAATTTTCCTCACATTTAAATTTGTTTCCCTGTTAGAGATACAACCTCACCAGCTACCCAGTTCTTTGTGCCATGAAACTCCTTCCGAGTGTCTCGTTTATTGTACTGAGAGTGACTATTGCATCTGAATCACTTCTCCAAAGTTACCAGGATAGACCTCTAAGGTCACACCAGACCCAGATGGTCTTGACAAATGTGAACAGTAAGTAAATCTCTATTTAGACATTATAAGAAGTTAGGGTTATTCCTGTTTCTGAAGATACTTAAAGTCTGAGGGAAAAAGCTATTGGAAAACAGTTTTCTTAAAAAAA